GGAATGTAGAGGAAAGAAACGATCAATCTGTATTTTTTGATGAACTTGCATTTCATTGTCATTCGAGTATAATAATGATTGTGATTTGTCCCTCGGATGACTACAGATCACAGTTCAGTGTAGAAAAATAACAGTGGGAAAGGAAAATAGTTAATTTCTGTAGATTGAACAACTTACTTCCTTTCTTCTGCTTCTTTTTCCATAAAATCAGGACCATGACTAGACCAAGTAGCAGCATTCCTGTAGTTACCACAGAGATTACTATGATCCTCATTTGTTTTGCTTTATTGGATTTGGAGTCAATCCTCACATCAACATCATGATCTGACACAGGCAGTTGAGCAGAAAAACTGGAAGTTATAAATCAACAATAGGAAAATTCAAATAATCAATATTTTTTAGTTGCTCAGTTTAATTTGCGAAATCCCACTAGCTGGACCTGTCTGCTTCAGTTATCAACCGAATTCATAGTAAGCAATGTCGATGAATATTTTAGTTATCAGGATGGACCTCTAAGGAAGCTGCATGATTCCAATCAATCTTATGCTGTTAGAAGTTCCAATTACATTTACTGCTTTTGGTAAAGTAAATCAATTCATCATGTTGCGAGATTATATGCTTAGCTATTCATATTTTTTGTATCCAATTCACATATGCACTATGAGGTTACTTGGTTTTGTGTGCTTACACAGTCTCTCTTCAATGTATAATACCTGTCAATTCCCTGCTTCAAAGGATGAAAAAGAAAGCAAGAAAATTTGCATCTCTTGCATACTTACAGGATCATTTTGTAGCTAATCTACTTTATATGTATTAGCTTTCAATGTTTTTAGAATCTCAGTATTAGAGTCTTTTTAGGTATGAGATAGCTTCGTACCTAGTTCTGATGCAGCCATCCTTATATAAATGTCTTGCCCATTTTCATTCAATTGTCTCATATCAATCAGCTCACTGAACCAGAGCAAGCAGCCACTTCCTCCTTCCCTGATGTCCAAATTTGCATAAGCTGTACATGAGCAGTTCTTCATACACATGCTCTTGCACTCCTCAAGATTCATGTTCTTGTTAAGCCAGGATTTTCTTATATCTGGCAACTTTACACCAGAGTACTTTTGAAACCCATCTCCTGAGCAATTTAATGCTGTCCTTCTAGCACAACCATCTGACCAATCCACCATGTCCCAATCTTTTGGAACTTTTGGTAGAAACCCTTTCAAGCAACCACATACAGGGGAGCTGGTAATATCACAGCTCCCATATGCACCGCACAATGCATATCGGCTACAATAATCATCAAATAGTGCCAGATAAAACGCCCAAACATCTGTTTGATCGGTCCAGGTAAAACGCTGGAGATTGCCATTTTCAGTTAGCACTAGCCTTGAAAGAATCGAGTTGTTAAGAAGCTGGTATCTGTAATATATTTCCTTGTCATTAAAAACAAACTCAAATTTGTATAGAGTGTTTGGCCGTAATTCAGGGACCCCACTGAAACGGAGACCATTCCAGGGTCCAGACCGATACCGCACAATTGAATTCTCTGTCAGAATTTGCTCAGGATGTCCACTAGGATCATTTCTAAAAGTAAAGTTACCTCTGGATGGATCATCAGGTGACTTCCATGATGACAAGTACCGATCAAAGCCTGTTATTAAATCCCTCCCCATCTTCATCCCTGGCAGGAGTGTATCACACGGATAATCAAAACTTTGCCACAAGGAGTTTTCCAGGTCATCATCGCCGTCTTCTTTGACAACAAGATTTCCTGAATCCAAAAGCTGTGCAACTGGATTTCTTGCAGACCCTGATGAGTTTGTAGACCAAATGATGCTCCCATTTTGATTGAGAAGTTCTAGAATCCCCTCGCCTGTAATCTTTAATACACCTGATGAATTGGTGAGGGGGGTTTCCCTGTTGGCAACCCAAACTACAGTCATGACAGATACTTTGTTGTACCATATTCCCAAGTATCGGTTTTTGGAGCTTCCTGGGCTGAAAAATCCCATTTTAAAGCTTCCATCAGCAGAGGCCATACTGTCTCCATCTTTGATAGATTGAGTTGTATTTATGATGTCTACTGCAGTGGAAATCGTTATGATCAGCAACAAAATGGTGATATAAAGAAGTTTAGAAATGCTGTCCACAGATGCTCTCATTATTTTCCGACAATGAACTTTGTTAAGGTAATGCTGGAGTAAACTTGTTTCTTTCTTTTAAATTGATTTTTGGTGAGCAGGTGATGAATTAGAATCGTGGGAATCCCTCATTTTGCATGATTTTCAATATTCTTCTCTTATTGTCTCTGAAATTGACCCTCCATCGTTTGAATGAGAATAGGAAAATAAGACTACTCGATGCTGACGATTTGAATCCCTTTGTACATCCATATTCTCTCTCATCAATGCTTTCTTGCATAGGCCAAACGTTTCCTCTGTGATGCGTGGTCGGTTTATTTTAACATCCATTTCTGTAAAATTTTCCACCGTATAAATGCTGCTGTCCCTACTCTGGAAATTTGGTTGCCGGGAAAAGCTGTAGCATTGATTAATCAATTATAGCCCAACAGGAAGTCCATTCTCATGTAACTAGTCAATCTACCAGTGCGTGCTGGTACAGGGTGTGATTACTAGTCAATCTACCAGTGCGTGCTGGTAAAGGGTGTGATTTATTATTATTATTAATGTTTTCATAGAACATGCTGTTTTATTATATGTGCTCTATGAATATGGAATAATTTTACTTAAATTTTAATTTAACCTGAGAATATTATGATTTTCAAGGGAAAACTAAAATATTAATTTATTTTATTTTAGTATTTCACCGTCTTACCTTGTTATGTATGGAATAATTTTATGGTGATTGGAAAGTAATTAGTGGTATCCTATTAATTATTTTTTAAGATATACTACAAAGAAATTGAGAGAGAAATTACAGGTGAAGATATTTTTATTATTTTTGGTACATTATAGTTTGTCTTTTTCTTTAAAATGAATCCTAAAATAATTAAATTTCCCAAGAATTATAGAATTTTTCGCTACATGTTTAGAAAATCTTAATTTAGTTTTATTTGTTTGGAATTATAGGCTAATATGATTCAAAAAAATAATGGTGTATTTTAAGAAAATAATATAAAATGCTTTGTTTAAAGGAATTTTTTGGTCAGTGATTGGAAAACAATTCTGAGAATTAATAAATAAATTTGATAGAAAAAAATGTGGGAAAATATGAAAAAGGTTTAGATTTTATTTGAGAAACCCAAACTCTATAGGCCGAAGCCATAGTATAGCCCTAAATCTAAAAGGTCTAAAACTAGAAAAGAAAACGAGATAGGCCGAGAGCTGGTTTCATTTACAACCGGTCCAAAAATGGGGTAAATTTACAGGTAGACAATTTGTCATTTCTCTTTTACTCGTAAGCCATCAGAAATTTTATGCTGCTCCATATATAAATACTGATATTTTAGTAGTTATTTAATAAAATCTATTTTATAAAAATAAGTAAATATAAGTAGTAGAGACAAATACTAGGTGGAGAAATTCTTATTATTTTTGTGTGGGTTATTAATTTTATTATCTCTTCCATTTATGCTTGTTTCTTTTTTTTTTTAATGGATATCGTTTGATAACGTTCGATTGTGTGCTCTCTGTAGATTGATTTAAATTATATTTTGTTTTTTGTATAAAGAAAATTGTAAGTATGTTTGACTAAAAATCATTCTTAATTTAAGTAAAAAAATAAAATAAAATTTTTAACTTTTGATTATAACTTATAATAGATTTCTTTGTAAAAAACAAAGTTGTTATATATCATTTTTACTAAACATATTTATAATTTAACCCCTTTTTGTCATAAATTATTTATAAAATATAATTTGTGGATCATGATCCAAATTAAATGTCATAATTAAAAATAATGTCAAACATACTTCTAATCTACTTCCAAGACAACATTCAAACAACTAAAATACATGGTCTCAACTTCCGACTTAAAGAAAAATCTTTAATTAAAAATAACCTTGGAGTTAAATCAAAGGTTGTTACAATGTTAACAAATTATTATTGAAAAGTTAAAAGTTAAAATTTCAACTTTCAATTAAATTAATATTTCAATTTGATTCTATAATAAATTTTATATATAAGTTGAAAAATAAAATTCTACCTAAAAACAATTTATAGCTTTCCTTCTGAGTTAATGATTAAAAAAAAACTTAAAAATTAATTTGTAAAAGATATTGTTACAACTTAAATCTAAGGTATGTTATTGGCAATGCATAATTAGTGTCACGAGCACCTTATTTATACCAAACTTCAAACATACATATCATAAATAGATACATATATTAAAAAAATTCATATAATATTTTATAATTTTTTAAATATTCCTCAAAATTAATAAAACAATTTATAATTCAAAATACTTGTTATATTAAATAAAATTCATTCTTTGAAACAATGATCTAAACTTAAATGAAAACAATGTAATAATAGATCATCTAAGACATTAAATCATAAAATAATAAAAAAAGTCTCATGAAAGCAAATAAGATATACAAACAAACAAAATAGCAGGAACTATTATTCAAAGGCCAACTTGTTAACAGAAGTTAAGAACCTGAAATAATATTAAAATTAAAAAGTGAGTTCAATTATCTCAAAATAAAAAAATAATATTTAATATATTTTTTAATTATTTATAAGTATAAGGACTAAGGCGCACACACATGCTATATATAAAAGCATATGGTTATTAAATACATGTAAGAAATCAGATAAAGTTATTGGCTTAGATAATAGATGAAACCATAAGGTTTCGATAACATACGAGGTTAGCAGCCCTAATCGCTATAGGAGGATTACTTGCCATAGATTAGTCTCTCTCATCAATCAAGTATATAGAATATTCTATGTATATAGACTAACTGCTCTATGTTTTTATAGAGTACTAACAAGTGTACCAATATCAAGATATAATATATATATTTAAATAATTATTAAAGCAAATGAATATCATATCAAATAAAATTTAATTATCAAGAAAGAGAAAAGAAATAAAATGTAAATAATCGATCATCGATAGCAATCCAATCATCATTTGTTTACGCATGCCACATCATGTAGAAGAGGGCACAATTATACATCTAATGAGATGGTGGATAGCTAGATTTTTTTCACCGGAAACGTCTCACACACTTATCTTTAATGGTGTGAGTATCACTCACTCACTAGAAAAAGAAAAAAAAAGTAAAACAAAAAAATCTTAATCTACAATGATTTATCTCATACCATTTAGTTTTTATTATAACTGTGAGAGATCTCAATCATGGCATAGAAATTTGATATATTTTTATTATTAGAAGAAATTAGGTGTAATTAAAAATTTAATTGAATTCTCATTTATGATTTTTATTTTATTGTATTTTTTAAAATTATCTTATAAAATATTCTATAAATATTAAATTAAATTGAATAGTTATGATTAGCTAGCTAGACGTACAATAGCTTGTGAATGATTTTTTATTCGGTATTTGGATTATTAATAACACAACAAATAAGTATAGTTTATAATTTTATTTTTATAAATTGAGAATGATTGAGAATTTAAATTGAATAAACATTGACAATTTTTATTTAATTTTGAAATAAATTTAATGAATAATTCTAGTTTAAAATTAATTATTTTGAATAAGTATGTTTAAATGAGTTAATATGTATTTCTATTTGATATTTAAGTTAAATGATAATAAAAACTAATAATTCATGGTTCTATTTATTAGTTATTGTATATAAGAAAAAGAGCATGGCAAATTAAAAACCTCACCGGTAACAGACACTACAAACTCATTTGATGTATTTTTAATGATGTAATTGCTGACATTTTGAAAAAGATCTTCCAACAACAACAATGTAAAAACTAACCTAAAATAATCTAATTATATTCAAATATTTACAATAATATCATAAAAATAAAAATCATAATAAAATACGCAAAACCTTTGCGGGAAAAAAAACCAATTTAAGGCAAAGATAAAAACAAGTTTTGTTCTGTGTTCACCACTCAGGTGCCCGAGGGGCACTCATAACCTCTGACTGCAGACTCTTTCCAGGTCTTGCACCACTCGTAAAGCGCTTTCACTTGCCTTTTGGACCATGTTCTTGGTCTTAACATTTTCTCCACCCAACCCGTTGAAAGTGTCTGATCACTATTTTTCTTCAGCAAAGTGTTCGACTAAAATCCTCAACGAGAAACGGTGTGACGGCGTGCAGAGATTTTGCAATGCAAATACTAAGTACCAAGGCATCCATTTTAGCCTCTCAAATGGGCACACACGCTCCTTACTGCGAACCCAGAAAGGAATTGAAGCTAACTCTACAGACTACAAATGTGCCACTATAAAGGTAAATACCTTCAAGCTCCAATTCTTGACATTTGTGTTTGCCTCTTGTTCTTGCCATTTCCAGTGGTGGCATGTGATTTTTCTCTTTAGATATATGCAAGTATAATTTTTTTTTTTTACTCCATTTGAGATCTCCTTCCTTGCTTTCGAGATGTTAACGTACATGCCTCGTAGGCTAGTAGGAGTATTATAATTTTTTTGCTCTTTCTTCAATTACTTTCCTGTGCACTTAATCCAAAAGTCCGACAATTTTGAGCTTCATTGCTGATGCATAAAGTTGTGCTTGAACAAAATACATTATTTTTTTGCTGAAAAAAAGAAGAAGAAGCTAGAAGCAACTAAAAGTTTCTACAAATACATGGCAAATACAAATCTACCGTGCCTCTAACAGGGAGAACGAGCATCCGTTTGCAGAACATGGTTTGTTCTGACTTAATGAATGGCTTGCTTCAATAAGATCCCTTTCAGTAAAAAAACCTGGATGTTTAGGCTGAGGCAATTCATCTTCATTACCCAGCATCAAAACCACCTGTGACATGTTCGGCCTATCTTTTGCATTTTCTTGCACGCATAATAGACCTATGTGAATCGACCGTAGAACTTCAGATAACTTGCAAGTTTCAAATATTAATCCCCCAACCAGCTCCACATGCCTGCCTTCTTTAAACAGTCTCCAAGCCTGTTTTTTGAAATTTAACCACGTCATTTGAAAGAATGAAATGTGGTTTCAGAAAACAAGAAAATGCAACAATTATGACACTGACATGCCCAAGAAGGTTGAGTTGGTGGTCTGGGTGGCAGAATCCTCTGTTCCTGTACCCACTTACTATCTCTAGCATCAATACACCAAAGCTGAAGACATCAGATTTTAGCGAGTAGAGTCCATACTTTGCGTACTCTGGGGATATATAGCCACTGTACGTACACAGAATGTTAGTGTTAGATTGCATTTGTGGGCAATAGAAATAAATTAGAGATGCTTGATAGACTTACTATGTACCAGCCACTTTGTTTGTGTTGGCTTCAGTTTCATTTCCTCCAAAACATCTAGCCAGGCCAAAGTCTGAAATTTTTGGATTCATCTCGTAATCTAATAAAACATTGCTGGCTTTCAAATCTCTATGAATTACTCTTAATCTTGAATCTTGATGAAGGTAAAGGAGTCCACAAGCAATCCCATTGATAATGTGGTAGCGCTGAGGCCAATCTAGAAGTAAACTTTTTGCTTCATCTGCCCAATTTTTTTAACCAAAGCCAATCCATTCTGGTTTTTATCAATTCATAAATGTATATACAAGAATAAGAAAAAACATGATGCATAATGAACACTCGCTTAATTTCTCTCCAAGAAAGTGGAGAAAATTCTTCCTCACCAAGCAATTTTCCTAAGGGGCTTGAATGAAACTCAACAAATGTTTGTTTTTGGTGCTTTTGGTTCGCACTTTCTCCTCAAAGTTGTGTTCTAATTGATCCATGATACTACATAGAGTTGGTTCTGGTGTTTGGATAATGAAAACAATCGAGTATAATAATTGAGCTATAGTTTTGCAGGTTGAGAAATCCTAACCGAAAATAAAGAAGTCCAAGCTTTTGTTAGGCAAAAACTCGTAGATCAACATCTTTTCCTCTCCTTCAATGCAACATCCTAGAAGCTTCACAAGATTCCGGTGCTGAAGCTTCACAATATTCTTGACTTCATTTTTGAATTCATCAAGTCCTTGTCTTGAATTCTTAGAGAGCCTCTTCACAGCCATTTCTCGTCCATCTTTCAAAGTCCCCTGAAAATGATCAGTGAATATCACAGGCAAATTAAGTCATACATTGTCTTGAAAATTTTGAGAATACCACTATGGGTCTGTTGGAACAGTTGCCAAATGGTTGTTGTTCTGCACTTGGAAAATGGTTTGTCCAGTGGTTGAATATTTCCAAAGAAATTAATACCAGAGAACTAGGCATTGTTGTTTTTCAGATTAGTACCTTATAAACAAGTCCAAAGCCCCCTTCTCCCAGTTTATTTTCGTCTGAAAAGTTTCTGGTTGCAAAAGCCATGGTATCAAAATCAAACAACGGTAATTCCAGAGCTTCTTTCTTGTGCTTGTAATTTGAACTTCTTCCCAAACCACCTGATATGTTTCCTGCAAGCAGAGCAGAATTGGTAGAAATAGAACAGAAACAAGGGATCACTAATTCCTGTTAAACTCAAATGTACTTGAGACGTAAAAGATAATGAGCTCTTAATATTTTGTGGATGTACATTAGCTTGCTAAACTCAAATTGGAAAACGAACTAAAATGTGTTTTTCGAAATTGGGGGATAGAAGAGCCGAGACTTTCATATGGTGTAAATAACTTACTGTTTTTCTGCTGCTTCCTTTTCCAAACATAAAAGACCACCGCTATGATAAGTACCAGAACTCCTGTAGACAATGCAGTGCTTACCATGATCCTTCTCTTCACATTGGATTTAGCATTATCCTTTGCAGCATCACCAGCATCTACAGAATCGCAGAGAGATGAGGAATCAAAAGACTAATTAATTGCCAAAAAAGGCATAGTCTTTGTTAATTAGGTAGCATGGCTGGAAAATTTACATTAGCTCTGGGCAGGCAATCCTCCATCATATTACCAAGTGATATGTCTAGGCGTTGATTTTATTATATTTCAAGATCTTCTATGCCAAATTAGATAATGAGCTATGAATGCTAAATTATCATGCTATTTACACGGTAACACTAGTATACTTGTTTACAGAACACTCCCAGCGGGACATATTCTTCTCAAGCAGTTGATTTCCCATCTTAGTTTTTGCTTAGCTTAATATTTAAACATGATTTTGGAAGATAATCTTAATATATAACATACTACAAGTTCCTATAATCGATCAGTAATAGATACTGCCTTTTCTACTCTGCGGACAAATTCATACCTAGTTCTGATGCAGCCATCCGTATATAAATGTCTTGCTCATTTTCAATGAAAATTCTACTATCGATCAGGTCACCAAACCAGAGCAAGCACCCACTTCCTCCATCCCTGATGTCCAAATTTGAATATGCAGTGCAACTGCAATTCTTCAAGCATGTGCTCTTGCACTCCTCAAGATTCATACTCTTGTTGAACCATGATGTTTTTGTCTCAGGCAACTTGGCACCAGACAGCTTGCGAAACTCATCTCCAGAGCAATTTAGAGGAATCTTTCTAACACAGCCACTTGACCAATCCATTGCATCCCAGTCTTTTTGAATTTTTGGAACAAATCCATTCAAGCAATCACACACTGGAGAGTTGCTTATACTACAGATGCCATTCGCACCGCATAGTGAATAGCGTTCACAATTATCTGTATTTGCTGTGCCATAAAGCAACCAACTTTGTGTTTTATCAACCCAAACAAAGTTTGTGATATCACCATTCTGACTTGCCACGACCCTCCAAAGTTTAGAGCGATTAAGAAGATGATATCTGTAAAATATCTCCTTGTCGTTAAAAACAAATCCAAATGTGTACACGGGATTTGGTCTTAAATGAGGCGTCCCGCTGAACCGCATACCATTCCATGGACCAGATCGATACTTCACCCTTGAATCCTCCATCACAAGAATCTCAGGATATCCATAAGGAACAAGTATATATGTAATATTACCTCTGGAAGGATCATCAGGTGACTTCCATGATGTCATGTACCAGTCCATGCCTGTTATTCTATTCCGTCCTTGCTTCATGTCTGGCATGAACGTATCACCTGGATGTTCAAAACTCTGCCACAAGGAATTTTCCAAGTTATCATCACCCTCCTCTTTCACAACAAGATTTCCTGAATCCAAAAGCTGTGCAACTGGATTCCTCGCAGGTGTCGATATGTTAGAAGACCATATCAAGCTCCCACTCCGATTGAGAAGAACAAGGATTCCTTGGTTGGTAAGCCTTAAAATTACTCCTGATGAGTCATTAAGTGGAGTTTCTCTGTTGGCAACCCAAACTGCAGTCTGCACGGATATTTTGCTGTACCATATCCCCAAGTACCGGTTTTTCGATTTACCTGGGCTGAAAAATCCTAATTCATAGGTTCCGCCAGCTGAAACAATGGTATCACCTTCTCTAACAAACTGAGTTGTATTTATGGTATCAGTTGCAGTGGAACTTACTATAATTAACAACAAAGAGGAGCAGAATAGAAGCATGGGAAAGTATTTCATTGCTACTCCTTTTCTTTTCTTTTTTTAAATCATCAAGCTTGGATGTGAAAAAATACTTGCAAAAAACAGCATATTAATTTAAAACCAAGTACAGTTTGTCTGCCCGAAACAGTTCCATTTGTTAGTGGTAGGTTTTAATTATTTCTACATGACAATGACAAGCAGAATTGATAGTGAAGTGAATGCTAGTGGGAAGAGGTGGTAATCTAAAGTCAACAGTTTAATTGATGTTTATAATTTTAAGGAACTCTTTAATTGGTTGCTTGACTGTACAGGGTCATTAGCATTGAGTCAAAATCCACTGACTCCATATAAATCAGTGTAAACTTCTGTTGACCCGGTGACCCATGTCTTCTTTTTAGTCAATCCGGAGTCGAGTCAATTATGCTTCTACATAATGGATCTGTTTTAAGTAATTGCTTTAGCCTCATCTTGTTTGATCAAAGATTTTAGGAACCTTATCAACTCTTGATTTCCGGGGGTAGCGTTTGGGGTTGGGTGGTTTGACGTATTTTCCTCCTTTTCACTCATTTGATAACTGTTTCCTCTCTGATTTTCTCTTGTCATTTCAAGGTTAGTGTCTTTTTTTTATTTATGTCCTCTTCCATAGTGTTTCTTTGGTTGTTTCTGGGTTCCTTCATCTATTATTTTTATTGCATTACAATGGGAGAAGGGTGATTGGTTCTGGGTGATTTGAAGCCTGCCTAGCTTGACGAAATATAAACTTTCTTGCCTCTAATTATTTTCTTCTGAAAAGTTCCTGGTTGCAAAAGCCATGGTATCAAAATCAAACAACGGTAATTCCATATTGTTAAATCTCCTGGAAATCCTCTTGCTTCCCTCTATGTCTTAGGAGCATGCATAGGTTGAATGGTCTTTACTTGATCAGGATGGGACAAGTAATACTGGTTTATATTTTAAACATTGTTGGAGCTTCTTATATCATTTAGTTTTGAAACTTCTTGTCATTAGCCAACTTTCATGTGAAAGTATTGGCGGAGACTTCTTCCAGAGCATGACTGGTCAGTTATGACAGCACTTCATCCTCCTTTCTAGGCTATGTTCTTTTGGCATCCCTTATAACCCTATATTCCTCCAAGATGTTTATGTTCACTGATGAGTAGTAGACTTTAGGTGAGGGGTTTATGTTTTATAACATCCAGTGCACATGAAAATTATAAGCAAATGCATGATTATGATGCACATGCCAATGTATATTGAATACGAATTTAGCCTTTCCAATAACGATTGATGGCCACCACTTTGTTTATGTAATGGGTGTAGATTCTTTTGTCATATATTTTGTTAAGAGTAATTTTGTCAAGCCATTACATTAAATCACGCTTATCAAGAGACAAATTTTACATAAAAGATAAATCAAAGCCTTTTTTTTCATTAATAATATTGACAAGCTTATTACATTATTTTTGAAAAAGAGAACACAAGGAAGGAAAAGAAAAGGTACATCTGTCTTTTTCTTCAACAACATCTCTAACCAAAGATAGGAAAGCGAAACCATGATTCTCAATTTTTCCTAAAAAAGCATCATTCATAGCTAAGCTTTTTTAGTAGCGGAGGATGTCTCGTCTCATCTTTCAGGCATTGACCCTAACACTTTAGGTATGTTTGACAACTTCATTCATTTTGGTCATCTTTTCTATGAACAACATATTGCTTTGATTTAAAGTATTGTTGTTAATGTCGATATGATCTTTATATTTTTCTAATGCTATTAACTTCTCATTTAAGTGCTTTATTTTTTCTTATTCTTTATGGAGCCTTACCCTCGTCACTTTTACTTCATTTTTTTTAATCACTAGATATGTTTCAATAGCTCCGACTCTCTTGCCTTTTCTTTCAACCCTTGTTATCTTTTGTGCTTTAGATAGTTGACTTTTCATCATCATATATTTCTTGTTTAGCTCTTTATATTTCTTAATTTTGTATATTAGCTCTTCTTGAACCTGTGCAAATTTATCTTGATAATATTCAATGCCTCCTTGACAGTCATTATAGTCAAACTCTAATGCTTGAAGTTTGAAGTTGTTTTACATCCAAATCAGATCCGATTCTCCTTTCTCTTTCTCAAATTCTTCCATTACAGCCTTTTCTTTGCTCAATTGTAGCTCTAGTTCTGTTATTCTTGCATCTCTGGATTGAACTTGCTTATCTAAAAATGCTTTCTTTTTGTCTCCTTCCAGTACCATTATTTCTAAAGTTGTCTTGTCTTGCTCTTACTCAACTTTATTTAAAGCTTTTATATTTGCTCTCTCAGCTCCTCTTGACCCTTTTTTTTCCTTTGAATTAACTCTTCTACAACTTGTAAAGGTCCAACTTCAGAATGTGGCATCCTACGAACAATGATCATGGTCAAATATATCCATCTCGTATACTCCTCGCTTGTGTCAAGGTCTCTAAACCTTAAATTCTTTTTTTATTATATTAGAACCAAGTGCTTCCAATCTTGTTTGATAATTTCTAAGACTTCATATGCAGACTTATCTTTGAATAACTTTAAAAATTAGACAAGTCCAACAATTATCGAGACGTATTATATTTCCCCCAATTGTCTTACCATAAGGGTCGGAGCACAATTTATATAACTTGTAATCCCAACTAAAAGTACCTAACATTTTTACCCACAACTCATTAGGACATCTATTGTTATGACTCATTGGGCTTTTCAGTTAAAGTTGCTATTAGGCAACTCTTGTAGCTTCTTTATCCAATCATGATGATATGAATCTCGTGATCACATAGTTACGCAATCCACAATTAAAATTGAGATTCAATCCATGAAAGCCAAAAGAGATCTAATAGGAGTATGACGCAATGAAAACATATCCTAAAGCACTGACATTATTGGAATGAAATCAAATGATGCAACGAAGTTAGTTAATTTTTGATAAATCAAATTCAGTTCATTCAAGAACCAAATAATACAAGAATTTCTCATACACTTTAAAACTAAAAGTTTAAAAGCATTATTCATCAAATGTTTTTTTTTTAATTTAGGCTTTACGTATGTTTAAATAGTTTTGAGAAATTAATTCTAATATATTTTATCATTGTGGGCTAGAGTGACTCGTTTACAAAAATTAACTCAAAACTTTTACTAGTAAGCCCTAACCCTGATCTAAACAAGTTTTAGATCTTAGTTAAAAATCAAAGTATTAATTAAGTTCAAACAGAAATAATAATAAAAACAACAAGTCTAGATAGTAACTTGTTGATGTTGCATGTACTAGAAGAAAAACAAGATAAAATATCTTAATTCCCTAACTTAAATAACTCTTGGCTGAGACCTATTATCCTAAATACTCTAGGATTGCTTAGCCAACTTTTAAAGTCTTTTTGATGATAGGAAATTTAACCTAAATGAAAATATAATTGTTGAAGTCTTATATCCTTGTTGGACTAGGATTTCCCTTCAAAACATGGAAAACATTCCTATAAATTAAATCCACTTGTAGCCGCCCATCATTTTCCTTTATTGACTAGGAGAATAAAATATTTAGCATTAAATAATCTATACAAGTCTAGGATTTAGATATGACAACCCTCTTTGGTTTCCTTATATGACTAGGAAACTTTCTTCTTTATTGTTAAATATTCTCCTAAATAATATAAACAATAATGAATGAATTTCTCTTTTAATTTTAGAAGAGTATTTTTTTAATCCTTGTAAGAAAAGGGTTTTAACATCTTAATTAGCTCAAGTCAACTTTAGAACCCATATGGCCCAAACTCATACTCATTAATATAACCCAAACTAGATCTGATACAAGCTCCTAAAAAACCTACTTTGTTGCCCAAATTAGACCTATACATGGGTTAACCTGATTTGGCTAATTGAAATATAAAAAAGATTGAACTGAACCCATCATTATGCATAAACCAAAGCTGGCTAAAACTATCCCACGCTGAAAACCCATCATGACCGAATGGAATACAAGCTAAATTGCAAGGAATAATAAAATCATGGCCGAATGACCTCCCTTTCAAACTGAAGCACATAATCAAAGGTCCTTCATGATAAATCTATGGTTGAATCATATCACTTGATTATCCAAGCTTCCTTTTTCTTTTTTTTTCACCAACTTTAAAAGGCTTTTATTAAACCACAAAAAATTATTGAAGATTGGTTTCTTTGTTTCAATATGACTCACCATCCATATATATAATAACTATATGCAACATCTCATTACCTCATTTCCACTTCTTCTACAATAGTTAAGGGTTAGGATGCTTTCAGCCAACATAACAACAACATGGTTAATCTAGGTATTTTCATGAACTACAAATACAATATTAGCTTTTAAACTTATCATATATGTTAAGCTTGAAAACAACACAGGGTCAAATATGTCTGAAGCAATCAATCTATCTCTTTCTATGGATCAATTTTTGATTTTTTCCTCTATAACTTAGCTTCTAACAGTTTCAGTTTCCACTCTATACCACTAGCATTCTTTATAAGAACTTAGTTAGATTATGAACTTTGAGCAATTTTGATAATTGAGGAATCATCCTGTTATCTTTTAAAGGGAAATATATAGATGGTTGGGAAACTCCATCAACATTCTATATTCTTCTTAAAGGGAACTTGGTTTGAAAAATGTCTAAAAAAAAATAGGTCATCTGCAACTTATACACTACAAATGAACCAAACATAGAAATCCGAAAAGATTTAGTGATTTTCATTTCTTCTCTTTTCTTTTGGTATTTTGGATGTTTATGACTCTTGTATTATGGGACATAGGTTTAAATTAAATATCTTCAATTACCATTAAGGCTTTTTTCAGGATAAACTTGGAATCTTTGGCTGTTACATCATTCTAAATAATATTTCAGATAAAACTACGTGCAATTTTTATTTTTATATTAGAAACGATGAAGTTGTATTACTTCTAATAATATTTTGGATATTAACCTATTAAAGTTTCTTTATCCTTATATTAAAAGTGAATAAATTATTATCCTTAATAATATTTTACATATTAACCCTTTTATAGATTCTTTTATCCCAATATCAAAAGTAAAGAATATATTTTCTAATAAAAAATAATTTTTTAATATTTTTCAATTGTAGATCAAAATCCTTTAGAATTTTACAAACTTGTTGTAACATCCATGCCAACACTTACAAAAAAAATAAATCCAAAGTATTTTAGATTTTTAAAGGAAAAAAAATGCTCAAGTAATTTTTATGATTCTTGACCATATGAAAAAAAAATTTATTTATTTTGAATTTTTTTAATATTTCTTATTGTTTTTTTAAGGCTTTGTATGGCAAAAACTTAATTTCTTTAAAGGTAAAACTATCAATATAGGCTTAAGGACATGTTTGTCAAACAAACTCTTAAATAAAAAATTTCTTTATAAGAAAGATTTAGAACCAAACAAGGCCTAACTCATCTTACTCTAATTTGACCCAATTGGGTTGACTTGAAA